CACCAATTTAATTTTTGATTTTTTTTTATTATTTTTTTTTTTTTGACTCACAGCATGTGAACGTTACTTATGCACAGATGCAGATAAATCAAAGAGTTGAAGGACTTGACTAGAATCACTGGGATGGTTGATGATGATGAAGATGAAGATGTTCACCTCGTTGATGCTGATCTCGGCCTCCACGTACTGAAGGCCTTTCTGCAGGATGGAGATGAGGGCCGCGGGAGGCACCAGAGTCCCGTTGATGTTCGACTGACTGATGTGGCTCTCGATGCCAAACGTGAACGCCGAGTGAGAGAAACCTGCAGCACAAGGGCTTTCCATCAACGAACAGTCGCTTTATTTCAACCCGTGAGTAAATGTGTGACTAAGGATCTGAGCTCATCTCAAAGCCTGGGGTGGTTTTGCGGGGTGTTTACCTGACTCCTGCAGATATCTGTAGACCAGAAAGTTGACTTCATCACTGGTAATGCTCATCTTAGCTCCACCTCAGAGGATGAGCGACGCTGGAGCTCACTATCAGCCCCTGCGTGAAACACAACATTCAGACTTTTAATATCCGACTTATGAAACGGTCTGTTCTGGAAATCACATGCTAAGTCTTATTAGGAGACTGTAGGTCTTGTACCATGGCATTAAACGGGGGAATGACAACAGCATTAAAATTAACATGTTTGTTACTTGGAAAAAAATAAATATGTTAAATGAATAAAAAAAAAAAAAATGCTAAAAATTACACTTATTTTATTTCAGCCAGCTGCCAAGGCAACGTTTCTCATTTTCATTTAGTTTAGTCTTGAAGTAGGCCTGAGTAGGGAGTAAAACTATATTATAAAAATAAAAATAATTTTTATAAATTTGTAATAATTATAAAAATAAAAATAACTAATGCTAAATAATACTAAAACTAACTAAAACTAAAAAATATTAAAACCTTAACTAAAAGGAAAATGAAACTGGAAAATCTAAAAAGAAGAAAAAAATAAATAAAATAATATATATATATATAACTTTTTCCACTTGTTTGTGGTCATTTTCAAACCAATATGACTTTCTGTCATCTGTGGATATTTTTAAGAATGCTGGCAACCAAACTGTTTTGGTGAACACTGACGTCCAAAAAAAAAAAAAAAAAAAAAATGCTAAAAATTACACTTATTTTATTTCAGCCAGCTGCCAAGGCAACGTTTCTCATTTTCATTTAGTTTAGTCTTGAAGTAGGCCTGAGTAGGGAGTAAAACTATATTATAAAAATAAAAATAATTTTTATAAATTTGTAATAATTATAAAAATAAAAATAACTAATGCTAAATAATACTAAAACTAACTAAAACTAAAAAATATTAAAACCTTAACTAAAAGGAAAATGAAACTGGAAAATCTAAAAAGAAGAAAAAAATAAATAAAATAATATATATATATATAACTTTTTCCACTTGTTTGAGGTCATTATAAAATGCACAAATGGCAATTTCTCAGCATTTTTCTCAAAATATGTTACGGATTGGTATAACATAACTATTAACTACTATATCTTAGTTAATGTTAATTTCAGCATTTACTAATGCATTATTAAAATCACATGTTGTGTTTGTTAACATTAGTTAATGCACTGTGGACTAACAATGAACGACTGTATTTTTATTAACCAACGTTAACAAAGATGAATACATACTGTAATAAATGTATTGTTCATTGTTTGTTCATGTTAGTTAATACATTAACTAATGTTAACAATTGACACCTTATTGTAAAGTGTTACCCTAATATATAAACAGCATATTTTTCTTAAATATATACATGCATGTGTTTGTATTTACATAATAAATATACACAGCACACACACATATTATGTAAACAAAAACTTTTATTTTGGATGCGATTAATCGCGATTAATCGTTTCACAGCACTATTAAAAACATTAAAAATCTTACTGTTCAAAAACTTTTGACTGGTAGTGTATGTATTTGGTCAATGACTTTATTAAAGTTACTTAAAGTGCATTCAAACTACATAGTTCATGTATTTTTCCATGGGAATCAAACCCATGGCTCCATTAGCTAAGCATTTGCATCTGTACTCATGTAAAGCATGTTTCTGGCCTGTTGCACCTCAGACTCTCCTGGGATAGATGTTTTTGAGTCAGATAAATTACTTACGGAGCGTGTGGGTGCCGATCTCCTCTCCGTTGACTGCGGTTTCTCCGTTCTTGGTGGTGTGGGACTGAACCGCGCTTGAGTTGCTGGAGCTGTTGGCTTGCTGCTGCTGCAGAGCGAGTTGGTCTCTGAAGGCCTGCTGTCTGGTGTGAACAACGTCTGGCATCACAGCATCGACGAGCGACAGAGACTCTATCGGCCGGCCGTCAAACACTGTGCCATCCTGAAACGTTCAGAGACAATATCACCATCAAACACAAGCCAAAGTGACACGAAGCAAAATCTAGAGCAAAAACATCCTGTGGGAAGGGTTTGGATTTCTTCACGGTTCAATAATGAATTTACGACATTTGCATTCGTTTGTGGTCATTTTAAAATGAAATAAAACATACAAATGCCATTTTTACTCAAAATATAGAGTTCGACATAACTAGAAAAATGTATTTTCATTATAAAAATTTCCATGACTTTAAAATGTTATTAATGATAATATTAACTGTATTAAATTATTTTATTAATCGTTTTATGTTTACGTTTTGACATACGTTTTAAAAATTCATTGATCATTTCAAGCATTTAAGTCTTTAGATGAAATTTTTTTTTTATATCAATGTAAATCAAAAGTTCAGACCAAGGTTATTATAGTAAACTAAAACCATAAAAAAATGAAGAAAAATAATGTTACTTTAAATAAATAAAGGTTAACTAAACTAAAATATATATATATAAAAAATGTAAAATAACTTATTTTATTTCAGCTAGCTGCCAAGGAAACATTTCTAATTTTCATTTAGTTTAACTTGATGTACTAAAACAATGAAAACCGAAAAAAAAAGAAGTTTTTTTAACATTTTAAAATAATAGAATTAATAATAATAATACAATAATTCATAATTAATTTAATCTAATAACAACATTTTTTATAATGAATAAATACATAAGTATTTTTTAAAAACCAATTAATAAAACTAACTAAAATGAACAAACAGAAAAAAAAAAAAATTCAAAATGTTAATACAACTATTATAGCATCGCAATGATACTATTTAAAAACAACAAACAAAAACACGCTTGTTTATACACACTTATGTACACTTTATAATGCTGCCATAACGGCAGAATTGTTTATTTTTTCTTCATGGTCAGAGAAAGTAAATATCTGAAAAAATAAATGCGAGCTAACAATAAAATCGTTATTGTTTATTTTTGAATATATTTAATATAGTGCCGTCAAACGATTAATCGCATCCAAAATAAAATATTTTGTTT